GAAACAACAATTTGTGGGTCACACAAAGTGTTGTTCCGTGCGGGAATCGAACCCGCGACACGTTGCCCAGCCACCGCACCAACCGTGCAGTCATTTGTAGAGGGCCTCTTGAGTAGTATCTACCATAACTAATTATTATTCAAATGATGGTACTAAAGAAAATTGTTAGTTTTTTGTGATCGATTTAGTTAATCAGATAAGTATCTAAAAATATAATGTTTAGACTTTAATACAATTTAAATAACACAATTTTCAGATGAACGAGAATCGGTCTAACAACGTGGGGCAGTATATTCTCGTTCAAAGAACTCCTAACGTGGCGCCGCGAGCTTCCAGTGCTCCACCTGCGAACCAAAATACTAATGTGGTTAGTATTTGTAATACATTTAACTCAAAACTGCCCATATAAGGGAACTTATTCTTTTAAACTCTCACCCATACATGCTTGTAGCAGTTGGTTGAATATGTCGTATGCACTGGAGCTTAAATTCAGTATGTAAAAAGTATGTATATAGACGATTCATAGTAATTCTTCTTTACAGAGCGTAGCACGGTGCCGTAGTGTGGGCGCGGACGACGCGTGCGTATGTAACCTCCGCGCCATGATACTGTGCAAGAAATGCGGTGCCTTCTGTCACGACGACTGCATCGGATCAGCAGAACTATGTCTCACTTGTCTCATACGCTGACCCAACCTTTATGGTTTCTCTACGGCCCATTTTGCGCGGCCATTGCTATCTTGCTAGCATTATTACAAGGAACTTTATATAGAACGAATTTAGCTACAGCCCTAATCATATTTATACCTTTAGTTCAGCGTAGCTAAAATAACGGAAATTGAGTAAATCCAGGATTGAGGTGTGTGTGAACAAAGTAAATGGTTGTTAGGAATGGTGGTGCTATCTGTATGAATGTATCAATAAACAAAAATATTTAGTTTGTAACCAAGTACTAGTATTGACAATATTTTGTACTTCACAAATCATCAGGTTGCTTACGCAGATTTTATTGAAAAGCTTTAAGTTTGTTGAATCGAAGTCACGCTAAGGCCAGGGTTACATAATCATCGCTGAACTTGAGTGAATCAAATGTGATAGACACAGCTTACGAGTTACATAATATTCATTACAGACTAAATATATAATTACAAAATAATCTCTACCTCTAAGGCAGAATTAATTATCCATTACCTGTCCTGAACCTATCCAAATATATATAATTCGATTTATGCTAAGCAATGGCGAGGCATATAGTGTTTTCTTGTTAAAATGTTTATTATTCTTCAAACAGCAAATATATTTACTCATCATAATGTTGAAATAACACTTGAAATTTTAATAATTCAAATAATAACTTGTACACAATGAGCACAATGTATTCAAAGTAATTTTATAAGTCGTACATTATTTCTGATTTAGATGTTACGAATACATATTTAAAAGCTTATCGAAATATAGCAGATAATTTGATAGCATTTGTTAACATTTATTTGATACAAATAATATAGTTGTTGTTAAGACTACGTACAGTACATAAGAAAGTAGTCGCTGCGCTGAGGATTTAATTTTTGCCATTATATTTTAGTATTAGGATATCATCACAGTTTAATTTTATGCTACTGTTATATTAATTTTAGTGTTAGTTTACCATTTCGTGACTTTATTTTGTATGTAGTTTATCAGTATCGGCTTAGTATTGGTATAGTAAGAAAAACTTGTGCACCATCTGATATCCCATCTATTTATAACATTTATACTTAAGTGTATGTACAGATATTTATTGATACGTGAAGGCTGGCGGGGTGGACATCGGATGAACTCTTATTGTAGGTATTTATAGAACATTACTTGTTATATTTAAGTTTTTCATTATGGCGTGTACACTAATATGACACTAAGTTATGCAATATATTTATAGTTGTCTATAATATTTTTATAAGAATCTTTTACAAATTGAAAAATAGCTTTTTGCTAATTTAAGATTTTTCTTGTAATATGTATCCAAACATAAATCCAAATTGTCCATATAATCTCTTCTGATCTCTTGTTTTACTGTCCCAGTAATTTATATAAGGACCTTCTATTGCGTATTGGGTGTGTACAATGGTTATAATTACGTGATTTTATTATAACGAGAATAACTGATTATCAAGAAATAACATTTATATTTAGATAGTTGACAACTGCTCCAGCAATGCCTAGTTAGTACACATAGCAATTGCCTTACATGACGACTACAGATGCTAAGTTACAATATATATTCATAGATATAATAGATAATTTATAATACAAGTGTTGCTCACTATGTTTGAATCACAAAATGTATATCTGTATATTTTAGCTTATATTATGGATAAATGTTGAAAAGTCTATGTATACATGTCACAAAAACTAGATACAGTCTAGATTTTAAACGACGCGTGGTTAGATCACTATTGGGACATTTAGAAATGTATAAAAGGATTTGTAATTCTTTATAGTGTACTTATTTCATAACCTCGGTACGCAATCATTTAATACAGTGTTATAGGAATATATAAATACGAAAGTTACATTTGTATTATAATGCCTATGTTTAAAAACTAACAACCAACAACTTTTATATGAACGGCTCTTTATTATTTTATTTTAATTTGTATGATTATTAAAAACTGCGTTTATTTCGCGGACTTGTCGCATTATTGTTATTTATTGGTAATTGGTTATTTTATGCTCATGAACATTTTTTCTCTAATAAAATTATGTTCTTCTAAGATGCTATTTTTTATTTTTATCATAGGTCATCACCCAATCTTATAATCCTTATTTAGACACAAAATATTACAGTCTATGTTAATTTAATTTCGTTGCATTTGTAACATTCTGAATCTGAATTCCGTGATAATCTGAGTAGGTATAAAAACTGCCTCGTTGGCCGAGTGGTCGCAAGTGCGACTATCGAGCAAGGGGTCTCGGGTTCGATTCCCAAAGTATTACTGGGTTTTTATTTTTAATTCTTAATTGTAGCACGGAGTCTATAAATATGGCCGGGATATATAGGCAATAGGCTCACCCCCTATTACATGGGACTCATAACATAAATAGTGAAAAATGGGTGAATCATTGTACAGTGGCATTAACTGCCGTAATGTGCACCTCTGCCTACCCCTTCGGGGGTAAAAAGGCGTGATGACTGCATGGTTGGCGTGGTGGTTGGGCAACTGGGTGTCGTACAACATGTCGCGGGTTCGATTCCCGCACGGAACAACTCTTTGTGTGACCTACAGATTGTTGTTCTGGGTTTCGGTGTCATGTGTATGTGAACTTGTATGTTTGTAAACTCACCCACGACACAAGAAAAATTCCTAGTGTGGGGCAATCTTTAATAGTACCGTAAAATGCTGTAACTTTGCACGGATTTTGACGTTTTTCTTCGATAAATCTTTAATCGTTAAGAAAGTCGTATGTTTTTTCAATTATTGTCCAAAATTGGACTTTAAGCTATAGGAATACATTTGCTACTAGAAAAAAAAACACAAAGCACCAAAAACTTGCTTTGAAAACGTAGGCAAAATTGAGGTAAAAACTACAACATTGCCTGTCATAATATCTTTTTAAATGAATAGGTATTTTGGTAACGGATCTGACACCCATATTGCCAATTAAGTTCTTTTCCACGTCAGACTTCACTGCATCTTGAATAGCACAAGATTTTTTTTTTACAATGCTAGGCAAAGTTGTGCAGGTTTCTCTAAAACTCCCATACAAAAGTGAGTTCGGTGTAAGGCTGCCCCAAAGGAAATGCAACAATTTTTCTAAATATTCAAATATATTTTTTAAAAATCGAATTTTTGTACTTAAATCGATTAAGTTTGTTGAAAAATTAAAAGTGGCAGCCCTAACCCTAGATAATGTTGACTAAAAAGTTGCGAAAATCTGACACAACATTGCCGACCATGATTTAACGATTTAAAATAACATATAATACAGAAAAAACAGTTAAAATATATAAAAAAACATATTTTCTTTACTATATAATACATTACGCTAGAAAATAAAGCATTAGATAGGCCCAGATGGAATAAAAGAGTGGACTGTATTTCTTGGTTTAATAGGTTTTCTTGAGTAGGCTATTAGTACAAGTTAAATTCGCAATCCCGTCTGTTCTTGCTCGCGTTGTCGTCAGGAGTGTATGGAGGGCGCGCGAGCCGTCGCTGCCCCGCCACGCCGCCCGCTCCCCTCTGCTTGAGATGCATGCATGTGTGTCTGCATGTGCGTGCGTGTTAACGTGTGCGTTAACAAGCATAAATACTCACAAAATGAAATTTTCCTGAGAGCCGGTAAAAAACGAGCACTGACAATGAAACTGCCGCTGAAAGTTTGTTAACTAAAATTTTGTCGTGACGTATGATTGAACGTTCCATACAGATTGCCGACTTGCTTTTAGTAATACTAGAGACAGTAAAAAACATTTCGCAGCGGCAATAATTTAACTTTTTTGAATTTAGGCAATGTTGAGCTATAAAGGCAATGTTACAGCATTTTACGGTAGTAGATGTTGTGTGTATAAAACCTTCCTAAAAAGATACTTTTATATTGTCGTTTGAGCTGCGTGTTTTTATTATTTGTTTTATCATACTCGAATACTGTCTCATTGTTTTCAAAATTACAACTATGGTAGATAATTTACCTAAGAAGCATTATAAGTGTCTAAACGAGAGTCTACCGCACCCGTGATTTAAACATTGGGTATTTCCACAGATGAATATGTGATATGTCTGTGACAGCAATAGTGAACGGAAACCCTTAGAGTATTTAAATAGTCTAAGCGGAAACCAGATCACTCATCAGATGTGGACGCACCATTACAAATTGCAAATGATGTTCAATTCTAAATCAATAAAGACTATAATATTCTTTACCTAAAATCTAATCTTAAAAGGCATGTGGCCAAAGACTATAGTGAAGTTTTCCATTATCTAACTGTATCAACATAGCTTCATGCCTTCCATTCACTCCAAGTTATTGGTTACTTTGACTGTTATGACTTTTGTATGGACGAATACCAATCCGCCCGTTCGTTTCATCTGACCAATCACAGAATGAGAATTTATATTTGACCAATAAAGTCTAAATTTGATCAGTGTTTCTAGAACTCGTGAGATGTTTTGCTTGATTGAAAGATAGATTTTTTTTAGTGTGGTGCGTTGTGCGTTGGACGGGTGTTTGTTATTTTCTCGTCTAACGAGAAACTCGGTTTTGTCGTTATTATGTCAAATTATCCTTCTAAAATCGACAAGATCTGATTCAGATTAAATTTTCCCAAAATGTCGACAGTTCTGCTAGCAGTTATTGCGGTCATCTTGTGTGTACTTTTCAGAATATTGAATGTTAACAGTCAGCCCCAAAAACCTGTGATCTACGGAAGAGATCGAAGTTTTATTGAAAACATTCTCTTTATTTCACCATTTCTAAATGAACCGTAAGTATTGTTTGTATAGTAACGATAGTTTTCATTTAGATTTTCTTATATTTACATCCTTTCCAGGTTCACGCACTAAGATAGGTTCTTTAGTTTGATGATGTCACTAACAACTGAGGTCGTAAATTTTTGTGTCACGGTTTTATCTCGTAGTATTTCTTGGTAATTGTAGAAGCTTCTGCTGAAAATACTACCTGCTTATTGGAGAACTTATCGCTATTGAAAAGAGCGATATGTTATCATAATAGTTTTTATTAGGTGTATTAAAATTAATATTTTGATATCTATTTTGATGCCGGATACGGCATCTTCCAGAAATAACAATAAGTTTTAGCGCAACTGAGAGATTTGTTATGGTTCAACATGTTTATGTTGCGCGTACTTTCCAACTGAACATTTGGTTTATTGGAATATAAACACACGCGCCTCAAAACTCGACGGAACATAAGTATTTATCTACCTTACGTATCAACAAATTCAAATTGATGTATTTAATGAGTTTCTAATAAGTTGTGAATCAGTCAGTAAGATCTAAATATAAAAATCATCAATTACCTGCACATGTTTTGTTTGTAATCATTCTAGAAATATCTATTGATTTAACCACATTTTTAACAATACAAGTTTGGCAAAGCTACTTTTTTGTATATTGTGAGTCATAGACCACAGATGACAGCATAGGTATCTGATTTGTCTCACTGGCATTATAGATGTGATGTCACACTAACATATCTACCAGGAAATTGATGATTAACACTACTATTTAATTAAACACTACTATAGGAAAAATATTAAACTGTCAAACACCAAGCGGTCACCGGTGACCGCAACCTATTGTTCTATAATTGTGTCTACAAAACCGGTACTCGACGAGTTAATAAATAAACAGTATCAATGTGTGTAAATAATAAACAAAACAATAAAGAGGTGTCCGTAATGTAAAAAAAATGTATTCCTTAGAATATGTTATTTAAATGGTTGCATAATTAACATAATTTTGTAAACTGTCTTATGCATGTTATTCAAATTGCTAATGTTTCAAGACAGTTTTTTTTATCATTAACAATAGTAAATTTTCAATCAAACAATATTCTAATGTATGTATACTATTTCTAGACAGTTCATGTTTATTGTAATTTATATGCTGTCTAAAATGTCTAGTATTAATGATTTTTAGTTTGAAAAACTTATTTGATTGTTGTACCATACTTATCTACATTAGTAACATGTATTATATTAGGTACTGGCATGAAAATTATATCAATATAATATTTTTCCTATAGGAGAAACTTCATTGTTGTATCATCATTATTATAACATACCCATTACTTTATTCACTAATAAATCAAATGTTTATTTAAAGGAGTGGTTCTTACTTTATAAATATAATGTTTTTGCAAAACAACTGTGTTAATATTACAATTAATTAATTATCCTAATGCATACATTCAAACAGTGTTCAAATTCAACTAGCATTATTTTGAACGTTATAGTATTATAATGTTCAAAATAATGCCAGTGTCTATCAGCTAATTAACCCGTGAGTCAATGAGATTTTCAATTTGTCTCATTCAATAGCAAGGCCTTGAAATCAGCATTGCTTCATTCAAATTCTAATACTATTGTTTTAGTTAATTTATTTATATTCAACAATACTTCGAATTACTGTGTTGTTGTTCTACATATACACAAAAACAGTATTAACAAATGCTAATCGCCAAAATAGGTAGATTACCTAATTTTTATTCTTAAGTAATACCTAATATTAGGCATAAACATAATTATTCACTGGTTTCTACTAGCAGTCTCGCCCATATCTTATTTGAAAATATTATATTATAAAATATAATATATTACCATGAGAATTAATGTCAGGATAAAATATTAGTCATGTGTTATTCCCGACTGTAATCTCTGTTTCATCCTGAATGGCATAATTTATTTAGTAACGAATATGCATACATTTCTCACATACTTTTACATTGATAATATTATATGGGATTATATAGACTTTAATATCAATATTTTTTTTAATGTTGCCCTACCAGTGTGGAGTATAGGCTTTAACTCATCGAGTACCGTCATTATAGACACAATTATAGAACAATAGGTTGCAGTCACCGGTGACCGCTTGGTGTTTGACAGTTTAATATCAATTTAATTACCAACTTGTTGTTTTGAGGCACAAGTATAATATCTTTACAGCTGTTCGATCATAGCGACATTTTTGTACACAATCGTCATAGATAGGTACTTACTACGATATCTATTACAGGATCTTGATATGATTCAATAAATTATCTAATTAGTGTCATTTATGATACTTGACTGATAAATTATAATTGGACTAGGCATACTGTACAATGAATGATTCACCACACCTAACTCCTTACCTATGTAACTAAAATGCAACTAAGTAGATATTGTACAAAAACAAACATAATTGTTCTTATTATGACTAATTTTAATCAGTTAGCCTTGGTAAGCTTTAAACAGCTCACTACGAAAAGATAAACAAGGATACAGATACAAAATTAAATTCTAAGAATCTAGACTTGCCACACATCAATCGATCTATGTTTAGCCACGCAAGTAGGTACGTTGCACATGGTATAAAACTCCATACCTTGGCGTTCACGCAAGTAAAGTAATGATTCATAGTAAAACATAGCAAAAACCTAGGTAAAATGAGTCATACTCGGGAATTAGTTATGACAAAATCACTCGATTTTCACCTGACCGATAAGATCATAGTAACAAAAAAAACATGAATTGAAAACCTCTTCCTTTTTGGGATGTCGGTTAAAAACTTGATAAATTGCTAATTCTATTAAAAATAGAAGTTAATGCAACAAAATATTTGTAATGGGTTCTCTATTCTAGATTGCTATAGAAATGTAGTTATTATACCCAACTTAAATTAGTGCAAAAGATTTAATCAAAATGTACAATGCAATAGTTTCTTACGAACACTTGGTTTCAGATACATACCGACTCGTCTATGGGGCTTCAGTGGACATGTGCAGACAATTCTACACAGTCTAATTGGACGTGTCCGTTGCCCCTGGCCCATAGGCGGACGAGTGTCGCTAGTGCTGCCCGACAAATCTACCCTCACCTACGACCTCTATGAACCGGTTGGAAACGAACATGAAGGTAACATTCAGTTTTTACAACAGGAAAATACATTCTGTTTTTCTGCGATAACAACATTTTAATGAGACTGAAATACAGAGAGATCGTTCTACTTTCTAACTACCGAATTTTATTATATGCATGACACACGAAAAATTTCTAGTAAGTTCCATTGCTTTATTACAATAAACGTAAGTTTAAAAGGATGCACTGAAACTGAAACTGCAAAACTGCTGAAAAAAGATTAAAATCTTCATCCGTCAGGTACGAGCTACACTTTACTCCATAAAACGTAGTTAGGTACTGCAGTATTCCTGTTATTTTCCATCCATGGAGAACCTATTAATCAACTCGAGCACGTACCTATAAATTGATTTTATCTAATCACATTGTACGTACGCTGATGAGCGTAGGTGCGATAGCTATCCCGTCACATCACGGAAGATAGAAAACTGATTAGACTGGCATCTTAATCTGATTGTCACAACAATACATATTATAATAGAATAGAGGCAAGCAATACAAGGTCGTGGTTACGATTAATGGCCGCGGCTCTGAAGTCTTTCCACTCGATTGCTTCAAGACTTGCATCATGAAGGTATTGTTCAGCGAACCAGCCTGTTAGACCTGTTTACGTTATAAACAGATCATTTAGCATTGGTGACTATTGGGTACACGTTCAAAATTATAATACTTAACCGGTCTTCGGATTTTGAACGGAAGATATGTTCCATTCTTCATTTTAGGAAGGCACAAGAATTTACGGCAACAATATTCCCCGACCTCACTTTCACAGAATTTTATTTTAAAAAAGCCTGATTTGTTACCTCTTGATAAAACATTTTATGGAATGTCTAAAAGTATGTGCGTTTCAATTCGATATTACGCTGTCTGTATATTGCATCATCAAATACAATATCGCGTCATGGTGTAATATCGTGTATACCTACAATACTTAATTTATTATTCATATCAGTGGCGTGGTTAAAGTATATCGGTTTTTGGTCCCAGGAGATAACACATTCACAGCGCGGAATTAGTTTTAGCGCCGATATCGAGAGTTTATAGTTTGATAAAATAAAATTGTTGGCAAGCTTTGCTTTGCACTAGGTATGTAGCCATCATAAAAAAAATATCTGTAGATCCACTAATGTAATATTTTCCGGTTAATTGAACGCGCTAATTACCTATCTGATCTGAGTCTGAAACCAACAATCAGATTTTTGTTAAAATCACTTTGAATTTGGTAGTCTTATTCGTGAGGACTATGTGACTAGGTGCTATAATCATTCTTTCTGTCACAAAGCATCATGTCGGCAAGTGCAAAAATAAAATAATTCGATATGGCAATAAATAACCGTATGTGTAGTGTAGGTTAATTTGCATGTAGAAGAACCTGTCACGAAACATCAAACCGTATCAGTGATTATTTCAAAATGTACATAATACTATCACATTATTATCAGTAGGAAGTTTTAAGTGAGTCAGTAGTACATTTGAGAGAATTGTCTCACTAGAATCTGATATCAAGATCAATGGAGTGTTATGCTTTCTCTCGGTATTAAAAGTGTTGTAAAAGAATATGAATAGTTGTATAAATATGCTCATTTAGTTATCAGATAAGTAATTTTGAGAAATAATACATAACTTTTTTTTTTTAAACTTTGCCCCACTCTAGGATTTTCTCCTGTGTCGTGGGTGCGTTTACAAACATACAAATTCACATACACAATGACACCCAGACCCAAAACAACACTTTGTGGATCACACAGTGTTGTCCCGTGCGGGAATCGAACCCGCGACACGTTGCACGGCAGCCGGTTGCCCAGCCACCGCACCAACCGTGCAGTCAACTGTATGATAAGCTGTGTTGTTATTATTACTGAGTATAAAAGACAGATCTCTAAAAAATTCATTTGTCGTAGAAATAGAGCTAGAAACCATGGGTAGGTCACCTTTTTAAGAATCATAAATTATTCTTCAGGTTAATCATTAACTTGCGTTACAACTTATACCAAAATTATAATTTATCACAAATTGTAAACCTTTTACATTAAATAAGTAGGTACAGTACAATCATGTTTACTCTCACGCAAGCAAACTTTATGACCCGTGATATATTGTATTATTATTTTATGTGAATTTTAATTCAGAAAACTATGAAAAATAAATAAAATAACAAAACTCTATACTGCACTGAAACTGGAACGATCAATTTTACCAATCGAGATTTGCGAGTATGAATAATTACCTATATCAACCACAATTTATAATAAAAATCGTAATATGTCATGCTTCGATAAGATTATAGATTATTTCTACGTTTAATAATTGCAATCACAAAATAATGTGCAGTGTAATTTTCTTTGAATTTTTTATCTGTGTACGTGGTAGCAGGAAAAACAAATCAGTTGCGCTGTTGGATGTCATCCCGCGGAAATTGAGTGAACAGAGAGCTGTGTTTATGGCGTGTCTAGGCCGGGGGACTTGCCGTTCATTATTTTTGCATAATAGTCGGAGATTAATGATACAAAGTATATATGCATGTTCTGTTGTTAACATTATCAACTCTTTTCACTTAAACTTACAAACGGAAGACATAAATACACGTAAAATATTATCGTCCAATGCAAGTCGTGTTGTTATGCACCACACGGAACTAAGACGACGGTTAATCCAAAGACCAAAAAAATCTACACAGCTAATGTTCACTTTTTTGGGGTCCAGTCCTCCAGTACTGTACAGAAAGTCTTGACCAAATAAGTTTTATTTAGTCTAAATAATGTTACATATCATTTTGACAGTATTTAGAATGCTGTATGACTTGTCTTGTCGGTAGGTAGGTAGTAAACCTTGGGCCTTGACACAGTATAGAATTCAAAACGCTCAGTTAAGGAAATCATTACATCTAACAGATAGTGCACTAGTAATCTTGTTTGTTTATTTACAATATTATTGTTTGCTTAAACAACGTAGGTACTTTTTTACTGAGGTCCAGACAAAACCGATTGAGACTTTATACCAAGTACGTGACCTCATTGTAGTTGGAAAAACGCCAGTAGACAGGTTTAAGTTCATTGATCTACGGGTTAAAAATCTAGTTAAGTCGTAGTCTCTATCTTTTCTAAACTAAACAGCTTTTGAATCATATAGAGACTCATGACCATGAAGCACGAAGTCATGGTCGGTCTGCGTAGTGTGTCCGAAGATAACCCATAAAAATTTTGCTAAGGCCTTGAAATCTGCAAGATAAACTTGCATAAACTATTATTAGGTATTAAGTAATACCACTGTTCCTTATTTATTATAGGATAAATATAGCTAGTGGCTTTCAACCGTCCGATCTGGAAGTCATTATGGGACGTCTACGTCGTCTTAGTTTAGCAGTGAATTTCTAATTGCAATTTAAAGCGGTCTCGAGTTCCTACTTGATATTCTGATAGTTACACTGTACTTTTTGTCATTTTTAAAAGTTTTTATTCTCCAACAGATGACGTGACGGTCGCTATCTGTCCCGGCATCGGAAATACATCGGAGAGCGTGTACATACGAACCTACGTACACTATTCGCAATGCCACGGCTACAGATGCGCCGTGCTGAACCACATTGGAGCTCTCAATAGCGTTCCAGTCACCGGCAATCGGATCTTTTCATACGGTAAGATAATAAGACTCACATTATGACCTACCTACGGGAGTTGCAGTGTGTTCTACTGGAGTCCCCTACATGTGTCTGCCTGTACGTGACAAACTCTAAAACTGCTGAACAGATTTTGACGCGGTTTTCACCAGTTAATAGAGAGTTTAGTGTATCTAGAATGGCTAAAGATTTGACTACTCCAGGCAGCGTTGCGGGCTGAAAGCTAATTTTAATATGCGCGTAACCCTTCAATTTAGTGGGTTTGCATGCATATTTGTAAGTGTATTCAGTTATTTTGGAACGTAATGCTTGCATATGCAATTTGAACTGATACGGATTACAGCGATAAGACATAACAATATATGGATAGAGTAAATAACAAAATTACAGTTTCAAGTTAAGCGCAATGGAATGTTCACAATTTTGCGTTTGTTTTAAATCTGAATGCGAAGTTGTCATTATGTTATTCACTTACATAACAAGTTATATTCTGTTATTATAGTAAAAACACATGTAAAAGGCAATCCTAATGCGTATTACATAACGTCATTATTTATTATGAGCAAGGATAATACAAAACGAAACACCTGACCGGCGATAGCGATGCATAAACGGATATGCATGAGGGAACTGAACTACAGTTTAAAAAGGCAATAATGGATATTCTAATATTCTCAACTAGCTGTTGCCCGCGACTTTGCCCGCGTAGAATAATGAAGTTCTGGCAGAATTTAGGCTTTTAAATTGTCAAACGCGCGCGTCCCATTGTCACGCTCCAAGTATTATTTTTTAAAAATACTCAATGTGCAGTTTTGACTTTTCTACGATTTTATTATATGCATAGATTCACCACACAAATTATAGCATTTTAGCAACGAAACAGTGTAACCAAGAATTATATTGTGAACCTGATTGAAAAAGAGTACCATACGGAGTTTCTTGCTCGTTCCTCTCCATAGGAATCTTGAAACGAGCAAATAGCTTCTCTAGAAGACTGACTGATAGGACGTTTTTAATATTTAATTTTTTGGTTTTGGCGCTCAAAAATGCCTTCCTTATCCAATTGAAATAAATGATTTTAACTTTTTTCTGATAGTCAGCCATCGGGTGGTGCAGTGAAATGAACCCTTATCTTATAAAAATCTATTATCTTTATAAAAATTACATATAGAAGATGGCCTTCATATGTATAAACAGTCGCCGTTGACCCATGGAAGTATTCAAAAATTAGACATTACCACCTCAAGTATTTTGAGTTTGACACGTGTACTTCCCTACACATTTTAGCTTCCATCATTGAACTAATGCACGATAGAAATACAATAACCAGAAAATGAACTCCTTTCGTAACTCCATGCTATAATACAAATGCATTCATATAATTCTTTCACACGTTATGTAGACCATCTCGCAATTTCCTACTAAGGTAGGTAGATTATGTAGAGATTGTTTACACATTGGGTAACGTTAATTTGTCATATATTTATATCATCATAGTATAGTATCGAGAATTAGATTGTCACGAACGATTTCCGACAGGTTTTTTTACATGGCAACACGAGATACTCTCGTATCCATGTCGAAATGGTTCTGATTTGCTAGTGATATTTTCTACTCCAATGTGTAGTAGTAGTCTTTGTCCCAATTAGTTGTTTTAAAGTGCTATTCATTAGTTTGACCGCTGTTTTTATTGACATTGAGGCCTAGTACTTACTATACACTCTGACTCTATACATAGGCACTCACTTATGTGCACATATATGCAGCCTACACTTTTGCACGTAATATAGCCACTTTCACGTCCAGGTCGTTGCTACCAACAACTACCTATACAGCAACTTGCAATGCAGTTCTGATTTTGCTAGTGGTATTGTGTAAATGCTGGTGCATAAACAAATGAAGATTAGACCGGACATACTACGACATTATATCATACTTACAGTACATAAAAAGATTGAATTACCTCTTTATTTTTGAGGCGGTTCAAGTCTTTACAGCCTACCTACGTGACGCAGACTATGTACTACATATCGGAGTTCAATGATTCCTATTACTCTTAATTGAGGTCTTTTCTCGGTCACAAAATCAATTTTGTTTGTTTACAAATAAAGCAGGCTGTAGCTTATTTTTGCCGCGGAGAACATAAAAGGTTACCGGGGCTCCGGCTCGAAGTTCAGAAGTAGGAACTAGGTGGTTATTAGTCAGTAAAAGCCTGGCACTCCCTCCTGCTTCACCCAGATGGGAGAAGTCATCGATGATGTTCCTACCAAATAAAAAAAATCTTATTTGTATGAAAGGTGACGTCACAACTTTTTATTATCAAACAAAAAAAATGGAACTACTTTCTAAAAGGATAATGAAGTTGTATTTAATATTTATCTAGTTGCCAACCGCCGATGATTTAAAGGGGAAGCCCTTGGCTTGTAATCGACTATAATAAAATTATTAGTCACCAACTGACACTCTTGACTCAAATGACGTAATGGAATGTAATCATAACTAGTTACCTTTGTTTCTTTTAACGGCAGAAACAAACTACGATCGATACCTTTTATAGAACATGTAGGAGCAATATGACATTTAAAGGAATAGGGATGATGACAGGGTATGAAAATTAAAAATCTAATTAGTCCGTCAGTGGCGTCAGTTAGGCAATGAACAAATAGTAGACACGTATTTTTTTTATTTTGTTGTATAATAAAATGATACTTAGATATAATAAATCAAAGTTTAGGAGTAGGGGCTAAAACGTCATTTCTACGTATAAAAATTAAATGTACATAGAATTGACGTCACGCGACATTTCAAATAAATATATCGTAGAAAGCATTCGTTTCTGTAAAAAAATAAAAAATACGTGTGCAATGTTTTAAAATAATCTACTAGTCGGACATTAAAATAAAAATTAATCATCTACCCTATTGTAAGTATTCTAGGTATCGATAAAATTTTTATGAATAGATTAGACCCTCTTGCTTAAGACTTAGGACCCTCCCCATCCAAAGTGCGCCAGTTGCCATTTCCCACAATTTTCGCATCTAAGAGTGAACCGTGAGAAGCATTGCAAGGAGCATTCTATTAAATTCCGATCAATATACAATACAGTATTATTATTTTTCAAGGTTAAATTCATATTTGAAAGTAGTTTGATACCAAAGAGATTGTAATGGTCTTAGGTCGGTCAAAGTTTTAGTAACTTAAAGCTATTCGATTGTCCAGTTTAGAATTGTTCCAGCAATTTGTAAACTTATAGCTAATAACTAATTATTATCTGTTGATGCGTAATGTAAGAATTAGTAGCCTTGTTCATTGATGAACTTGATGAGTAACAAACTAACAAGTTCAATACTATGTCTACATCTACATGATATTATGTAAATACTAAGTATCACTGGCGCGTGTAAACTCCGGCACATGTTAATACATGATTAAACTGTCAAACACCAAGCGGTCACCGGTGACCGCAACCTATTGTTCTATAATTGTGTCTACAAAACCGGTACTCGACGAGTTAAATTTAGCGCTAAATAAAATTTTCTAATGAATTGACGGTTTTAAATTATTTTTTTACGATGCAGATTACTGAGGGCTTAGTACGAGTTTGTTTTACGTTTAAAGTAATCGTAACGAGTACGCGTTCGGCGCTGTGATTGGCCGGCTCTAATGAACCAACCAATCAGAGCGCCGGATGAGGTTTCGTTTCGAGTACTTTAAACATGAAACAAACTTGTACTAAGGCCTCTGAATTGTTTAAGTACCTACGTACTTATGACGCATTCGATTGTTTATCTTAAGCACTTGTTAGGTTGTTGTAAAGAATTCGTATGCTATTATGCTATGCTTCAATTGTTAGTAAAAGAAAAATGCATTCATTCGTAGATACTTATAGACCAACTTATAAATGTTTTCTGTTCATTCCTATCCTATAATATTTTAAATTCTTTTACGTTTATTGAGCTGGTGACTTAAGGTTTATTCGTAAGAATTATTTTTATTTAAGAAGTGTAGTATTCTATTCTACTTATACAATATTGTCTTTTGTTATGTTTTTTGTTAATCCAGACAGTAGTCAGTCTTTTTGTGGGATTGTCTGGATGCGTTTTCTGCTTGATCAGTACTTTATTATGGTTTACGGAAGTTATTACAACAATGCCTTAAAAATGTCTAACAATGCATATACCTCTAAAGTCATAACTTCTACGGCGAGACATCTGACTCCTCAAACGTCTTTGGTGGTTCCATAAAAATCATAGTAATAATCTGTACGTAACATATCGTTTGTTGCGTGCTACGTATCTATTTGGACATCAGTTTGCATGCCAATTACGGTTCGTTATGTCGGGCTTGAAGGAAACACGTTCATACGGTGACCAAACCGGCAATGGCCTTCAAAATGGTCAAGTGCATTTAAAATCGATGTGATAGATGTTATACAATACAATAATACATCTATAATACAAATGGATTATGAAATGACCATGAAATTAACAGGTAGTCCTGTTTTGTTATATTATTGAAATATTTTTCTTACTGCACGTTATTAAACTCGAGTTTGTTACCACCAATGCAGTAGTCGTTAACCCTAATAGCCTTAACTATAATATACTGATTAAGTTTAAAAATGTCATATTTAAATTTAACCTATCGATTTGGTCATTAAAGATAGGGATTTTTTTTAAGGGGGGAAAATCATCGAATGACTGCTCCCGCTTGGGTGAGGTGGGAGGGAGTGTTACTCTTACTGACTAAAACCACCCCGTTCCTTCTCCTGCACGTCGAGCCGGAGCCCCGGTTACCCGTTAGGTTCTCCGCGACTAACGATAGGGATAGGATTGTTAACTAAAATACTTTTACGTAAATATTCGTACATGATATCAAAAAAAAACTCGTGAACAAACTGTCAAATCTACCAATTAGCAGATTGAATAATTTGAAGAAGTATTTTGGTTATCTGAGTAAAAAATGCAAAGAAAATACGATAACCGATGGATCAATGTGGTTTGCAAGTTGCGAGTTTTGGAGCTGGCTTTTAGATCAAAACAAATGCAATTTGATGAGCACCTTAGGTTATTTTAGTAAATGTCTTATATTGTCGAAATCCCAATATCCTCAAATACTACAGAAATTGGGTTACGCGAGGTAATCCAGACATACTTTTTGTAGGGCCGCATATACGAATTGGCATTGACAAAAAGGCTAAATTGTATCACCGCTTTGAATTGGATCTACGGTTTCTTTTTTTACCTCAAAGAGGCTTTGCCTGTCTTGCTTCGCCTGTAGAAAACGAATGGGAATTTATAAGGCTCCATAGAGTAAGCTAAACTTCTAAGTTGCACCATGTAACATTTTCTCAGACTCTTCTGATTTACGATATTAATTAATAGTTGTAAGAATTTTTTTTTGGGACATGCCACGCCAATTCCTAAATCCGCTGCAACTCCTGTAAGCCAGGATCTACAGTACATAACTAACTAAATGCAATCATAAAAAAATCACAAGAATTATTATTTTAAACAATTTAACAATAACGATATTTATATTTCCAGGGCACACAGATGACTACAACTACATGGTAGAGAACCTTTTGGACCGATACCCCAACACGAAACTAATTCTAGTCGGATTCAGTCTGGGTGGCAACCTGATATCTAAGTACTTAGGAGAGGACAGGAAGAGGCCCACGAATATCATTGGTGGAATCTCAATATGCCAGGGCTACAATGCTATTGAGTAAGTTATTAAGTCTTTAATTTATTTTAATAAAAGTAGTTTATAAAAGAAGTCTTTAAATGGCGACAAAAAAAATGACAAAGTAACGCTGGCCACACTTCTTCCCGATGTCATGAGTCTATTCTCCGGACAGCAATAAGAATAAAGTGAATCGATACTTTTCTGAAGATCGTTTTGGAGACTTGGTTGACAAAGAAGAAAAAAAAACCTTTTTTGAACACCATTTTTGGTGCTGGAGGTAGTTAGTTAGTAATTTAAATTGATGATAAACAAGATGTAATCAGGACTTTACAATTAATTGCAATAATTATCTTGCAATTTTTACGGGGTCGAGGTAAAATTTTTGTTCTTTACTTATTTTGCCAATAAAATGACCCCTTGGACTCTTTCTCGGGACCTTGGGTTAGTTACCTATTTTAAAGGACTTAATTAAAAGAAAATGGTTTAATTTCTTATATGGAAAGACATTGTATAAGTTAGCATATAAAAATGGAGAAGATTGTGGGTTTTCAATGTCTTTTCAATACGCATGGTTAGCCAATTCTTGCTCAACAATAACCTTCATAAGAAATTCCAATAAAACATTAGGATTAGAATTGCGAAATTTCTCGTAAATCTTATATGAACATGCTTGTTCGACAATATTTTTATTTACCAATGTTTGCAATATTTCACTTGGAATAAATTCACGTATGACGGCATTGGTCTCTGAAATGCTTAGTTTAAAAAAATTTTTACAACGGAAATTTGAGATTGTAAGCAGAATTTAAATCAGCATACTATCTGCTATCTCCGTGTAGCAAATCGAGGTCACGGTACGATAGAAACGTCTAATTATCTTAGTATTCATTAAAAAATGTTTATTTAACTCGATTCTTGCGAGCCTTCACCTCGATAAATAACATTCGATTTTAATACATTATTAAGACTGTATCATAGGTCTTTATGTAATAAAACAGGGATTTAGACGACAAGTCCAATTAAATATTTTTTCGAAATGCCATTATCATTCAGCAAATATTTATAAGTTATACATGAGGGCTGATTTCGATAGGATGGATTTCACTAAATTGATTTGCTAAGTAATCATTGAACCATTTAGTAACTGCTATAACCATTAGCATGTAGGTATATTGAAATACATACTCTACTTTGCATATGCGATGCTATAGGGGCAATAAAAATGTTGCTACAGTGGTCGAACAGAACTTGTAAACCTAATTTAAATAGTAAGTAAAATAATTAGAATCAATGTAAGGAACGCCTCTCTGGCAATATTTTACACAACATTAACTGCTTCGTCGCGCGTGGCGTGGACGTAGGTGTGACCATCGAGAAAGGGGTCTCTTCCGTCTATAAAGGCGGGAAAAACATAAACAGTAGTTATATAATGTTATAAAAAATTCTTAGTTATGTAATGTAAGCAATACCGTATATATGATGGAATTTACATCTACTACAAGTAAATGTAACATGTCTCTTTCGATTATCTTGTTCTTTTATTTGATGGGCCGACATTTGACCGCTATCTTATTTTATTAACCTTTATTCCTCTTACTTTTAGCACGATGGTGTACCTCCTGCAATGGCAGAACTTCCGTCGTTTCTACCTGTACATAATGACGGACAACTATCGTAACATTATCACACGACACAGGAGAATGCTGCTGAGCCCTGAAATGAAGAACAGATACGCTTTAGATGAGAAGCAGATCGTCTCCGCTGGTACATTGCCTGATCTCGATGAAGCTTATTCTAGGTAAGATTTCCTTTTAGAACTTTTTTTACTGTGTCCTGCTCGTGGATGCCGGTACAAATTCGCATAGGCACATCTCACACTCTTTCAGTCGAATTTATTTAGTGATTTGGTCGTTCTGCTGTTGCCTGTTATGGCATTTTAAGATACTGGCCTGTTAGATGCACAAAAACCTCTTCTATTCTTATTCTGTAAAGGACATTGTGAATGTTGATATTATTGAAAACTAACTTCTGCCGGCGACTTCGTACGCATAATCCCGTTTTCTCCCGTTCCCGTAGGATTTTCAGGATTTTTCTGTCTTAAGAACCTTCTCCTAATAATAACAAATACAACAAAAAAATAATAAGTGTAATCGGTCCAGCCATTCACGCGTGTTGCCGTGACCATGAGAAAAAGGGATTCATGTTTAGACTATAACTATGTAACTACTAGTAAACAATTAAATATACCTATATCATATTTTTTTAAAGTTTTCAGTGTTTTACTACGTACTATGTAGACAGTTTACACAACGTGTCTCCTCTTATCAATGGTTGAAAAGAAAACAAACCAAGTTGACCGACCGACAATAAAATTAAATAAATGAGTTTTAGATTAAAATTTAAACAGACATCTTTGTAAATGATGATATGATTTTTCATTTAGTTATGAATAAAGTCGAGTGGCGTGACTGATCGACCATTATTCTTATTTTCAATAATATAACTTAATATCACGCTTTTTTATCCCCGAAGTAGTACTAGGCAGAGCTGCACATTACGGCACCTAATGCCACTGCACAATGTAACACCCACTTTTAATTATTTACATATGTTATGAGTCCAATGTAATAGGAGGTGAACCTATTGCCGGGCACATTTCCAAACGCCATGCTACTACTGAGGGGTTTTTTAAAAACCCAACAACACTGCCCGACCCGAATCGAACCCGAGACTTTTCAGTATTCTTACATGAACACTATCGTAGATGTTCGTTTGGACTTTCTTATTGTTTTTGGCCATGCATTGAGAGGTTTGAAACATCAATCAAATCAGTAATTCAGTTGTTTCAAAAAGTGGTTCTGAATTATAACAGATATGCCATTATCGCCCATCAGTCTACCTATTTACAAGCTTTATTAGCAAAGTAACTATTATTGGTCGTATAATGTACACATTGTTACAATGACCATTCAATTGAGGTAAATAGGTAATTGTGGTACTCGTTTCTACGTCGCCGTCGCATTATCGTACTTTGTGATCTTTGACCGATCACGCCATCTGCTGATTTTTATTATTGCCGAGTTTTAAAGTTTTCTTTTCAGACGTGTCAATGCCCTTTGACTGGTGACCTAATAGGTATAACTTAGGGCTATCAGATAAATACTCGATAATTAGGTACTTGCCAACTAGTCAAATTCAATACTTTTTTGGAACTGTCAAAAACAACAGTTTTCTATGGATTTTGTGCGAGATTGTGTATTGTGACGTCACGTTTTTTAGCATCAAACAGCATAGTTACTTCTTAAAAAAATGCTGGAAAAATACTAAAATTAAGTTGGTCATAAAATCAATTAATGAAAGTGTGATTATTTTTTGATATTTTATTGTATTGTACAGTCGAAATGATTTATTTTTTATTAAGGAAAGCATCCAATTTATTAGTATGTATTAAAAATATTCTAATACAAAAATAGAAATTTTACGGCGAATTAAAATTGAATTTTCACTGTCGTTTTAATTTTGGGTTTCTTTAACGTAAACATATAAGTATGTTTTTTTATTGACAACACGGTTGAATAGCTTTATAAACATCATTATTATATTGTATTGTTTCAGGAAAGTGCACGGATTCGAATCGGTGGCTGATCTCTATAAATGGAGTTCCTCTGCTTTCTATCTCCACAATATTAAAACCCCAATGATTTTCGTCAATGCTCGCGATGACCCCATCGTACCAGAACCCCTATTGCCTATTGTCAGGGAATTTGTCAGTGAGTACAATTTTTTTTAATTATTTATTTTGTCCTTAAGTCTTGAAAAAAAATTTTTTTTTTCTCTTATATTAAGTACAGAACAAATGTTTACACACGTAATAATTAAATTCCAATGTGTCTTAAGTATAATTGTGAATTATTTATGAGATTATGATGAAAAATAATGTTATTAAACTTTAATAATGACATTGTATTTGTAAATGTCAATACAAGCTGAATACAAAAACTCAGGTTCAAAATAAGTCTAGAAAAGAGTTAGGTAGGTATTAACTAGTTACAAACACGACACAGGTTAGGTCTCTGTCTACCTGCGGTTGGCCCATTAACATTATCGATTCTGTATATTTTTGTATTACATTTTCGTATATGGGTGCCGTTTGGCCATGTTGTGTCACCGGTATTTTGGTTAATGACTTTACATTATTAATTATAGCATTGCGTCTGTATATCGCATTTGTGACAAATCTACTAGAACAAATGTGATCATTGTCTATTTACGTCTCTAATTTTCTCCTAAATTACTCGACTAATTTTAATGGTCCTTTTCATTAATGTATTTTTTATATTTGCTCCGAGTAATCTTTAATCTATACTTATTTATGTGTTCACTTTCTCCTTTTATAGTTTTTAGTACACAATTTAAATTTAAACGTATGGAAATGACTGGTATTTGGAAACATTGCGCAACGTTCGAATGAGGTCATTATCATTGTACTTACGTATGAATGGAACCAGTAGAACTTGATTTTAAATCTCCATAGATTTATTTATATTCTTGTCTTCATGTTACTAAATTCGGATGCGAAGGCTGACATTTCATAAGTCAATTCATTTTAGGTAAAAAGATTGAATGACTTCTTTCGTCGCTTTTAGGAATACATCAGACTAAAATAAACGACGTTTTGTTTCACAAACAGTAGCTACCTGTATATCATTGACGTACATATTTCTTAAACTCGACGGTTAGAGTACACTGTTTGAATAAAACTAGAATGATCTATGCTATTATGATTTATATTAATTAAAAGTAATATAAAATTTGCACGAATAACCAGCGTGGCAGATAAACCAGATAACGGCAACACGAAGCAAAAAAATGTTTATAAATCAGACCGAAGGTTATCTGTAATAATTTTAACGTCACTTAATATTCTGCAGTATTCGTACGTTGTTGTCTTATATATGAAATTTATCTTTACAGGCTCGCACGATAAGGTAATGTATCTCGAACTGGCTCACGGCGGACACTTGGGTTTTTACGAAGGAGGTTTGGTATACGCCAATCCCGTCAACTGGCTGGACCGCGCCCTCGTCGGACTTGCTGGAGGTTTGCTCATGGCACATAACAAGTGCTCACATAAAGACGTCGCCGCCTCCGTCGATTACGTACCCTCAGAAGAACAGAACGAACCAGATCTCATCAAATCAGCCACCATTGTCTACCGTGATCCATTAGAAAAGGCACCCCAGTTGGCATATTAGATTAACTCTTGAATTGTAGATCACTTTGGTATACTTACATGTCTTATATTTTTTAGAAGAAGAAAAAACTTATATGAAATGACTGCGATCCATTTCAACGGCAGTAACATTTTGATGAAGTACTTAAATTGTGTTGTTAGTACATCTTTTGGAGGTAACGATTCTCCATCGCGTTTTTATACGTCCTAATAAATAGTTGATATATTGATGTAGAAGGCAGAACCGTATTTACCAAAGCCTAGTATAGGAACGAGGTGTTCCTTATATGCCCTAAGTAAGATATTAGGCAGGACCTAAGAGGCAATATATGTTATAAACGGCACATAAGCTTTTTATAAATATTTATTGTGAAGTCGTTAATGTTTTTCAGGCTTATTGTCGAACTGTACGTGAATAAAATGAAGTTAATGATAGTTATTTTACGTTGTGACTAGATGAGGTGAGAAGGCGTGGCATATATCGATAATAATAGTGTAGAGAATATGTTTATATATGTATTGTTATTATCTATGTACATGTCAATATACAGCTTTATGCAGTCTGTTGTAACTTGCACAAAATGTTTGCTTTTATATACAACTCTGCCTATAAGTTTTTTGTCATTGCATAATATATAGTGGTTACACAATAGGGCTATTAAGGCTGACAAAAGGACACGAGTTTAGTGAGCCCCTAATTAATAAGTCCTCTATTTTGCCAGTGATCAGAATAGTCAGTTATGCTGCTGAATTAATGCCACACCTCACCTCCACAATATTATTCGAATGCACACAGGAGACACGGGCCTTTAGTTATTTGTTACTATTGTGATATACTTAACTGATTATTTATATAATATGCATTTTAATCTATGTGCCAAGTGCACGTATAAAATATGACGGCCGTACAAACAGCGCTATTTAACGGTCCTGGGTTCTAGTCCCGGTTAAGTCAAGTATGTTATATGTATTTATATGTAACGTTAATGTTTGATGAGTGAGAATCATTTACAAACGTACGAGTACATGAAATTAAGATATTTATCGAATAAATTGTTTGTAAAATATTTTTGTTGAAATGAATGGTAGATGTAAATGCAGTACAAATACAGATTTGCACAATTTTAGTTGAATGTTCGAGTTTATTATTGATGGATAGTCCTCGCAAGTTGGTTTATTAGTAATTTGTACGTACTTACATTTCAATCTCATTGAATTCCTTTAATGTTCCTATGAAGTAGCTAGAGTTCAATGTTGTATTGTTTTGTGCAGTCAATATCAAAAGACAATCAACTATGTCTGGAATTTTCCAATTTGATTATCTTTTAATTTTGACAAGACTACGAATTAAAACTTTGCGAGAGTAATTTTAATTATTAATTTATTTTCTATAACTTACAACAGGAAAGTCTGCAATACACAATTTCGTATAACGAATTTATATTGGAAACATTGTGAATTGACTGGAAATGGGTTTTTAAAATTATGTATTGTGACAAAGTTTGTTCCTAAGAAAACTTTTAACATTATGGAATTGTTCGCTAAGCGATGTTTCGTGAGCTTTGTTGCGGAGCTAACATAACTTCCGTCCAATAAGAATGTTCATAAGTTGAAGGGAATTGAGGAGATTGTTCAAATCCTGAATAAGGTCTGAGAGGTGGGAGTTTTGTATATGTACTATGTAGGTACTGTAAATTAGAAACCCATTTCTATATTATGAAATTGAGGTCGAGATAGATAAACATTTCTTAGTGGGAGCTAAAAAGTATTTATTTATTTCGACTTGTATAGTTTTTGGACCACGTAAGGTCCAAATTCAAAAGGAATGTAATAAAGAGGTGTGATTATAAACAGTTTCATAATACTTACGTCCAGTTGGATGTGTGCGTATGCGCAAATGTGTGCTGCGTGGTAACTTCGATGTTTTAAGCTATGTGACTGCCTTCGATGTTAGTTCTATATTTATGTAAAGCTTTGCATTTACAGTGAGTGGCGTTCGAGCATTGTTTACGCTTAACAGCGTTTGGCTTTCGGTGCCTATTCAAACAATGCAAAGCTCTTTTCGTCTAAGGTGTTCGCAGACGTACAAAAACATTTGCCAATGTAAAGGCCTGCACAACTTATTGATGTATCGACGTAAGCCCCAGTTATAAGGCCTAGTCAGTCATAAAAATCTTTCAAATGTAGAATTATGAACCATTGAAGTTTCACTCAATTTGTTTGATAATGCTGAGAACAATCTTCGTTTGTTACGTTTTTAGAATTTTTCACAACATACCTATTCCATAATTATGATCTCGCAGTGTGAATTCCGGCAGCAATATGGATGTTTTCTTGCCCGCCGACCATAGCCAATAAACATCTTTTGATGTTTGCGCCAAAGCTAAGAGTATTCGGTGTAAAATTTTAGTGCACATAAAATGTAGAGAGGATATGAAGCATAACTTCAAGAGTTCAAGTTCTCATATAAATCTTTTGTGGCGGGTATAAAGTGATACTTCTTCAGCATTTATGTAGACATTTCCAAATAATTCCACTGATTAAATGTTAAATGTGTTACTCGAGTGTGTTCATGTAGAAAGATTGGCATAATGTTTGTTAGGAATATATTATCTTTTAGAATATTGTGTCTGTATTAGCTTGACTTGTATTCAAATAACCAAGCCAAGTAGACATTTTTCTAGGCGTGTAGTAATAAGAATTGAGCAAGTATGGCACTTGCGGAAATGTCAATATATTTTTATAAACTAATAACTTTCTCTAACTGGATTTTGGAAATTGATAAAGTTTATTACTCAGTGGTTTATTAAAATTTCAATTTAACGGTTTACGTATTTACTTATTTTTACCATATTACGGGGTTTTTGCACGAAGTAACGTTACGAGAAATATGCAGTTTTGTGAAGCTAGCGATAGCGATACTCATAGCTTTCAATGTGATAGATTCAAATAATGTGTTATTGCTGTCTATAGATAACCGCGATTAAACAGTACAAAGATAGGATCACACCAATACTATAAACAAATTATTGTAATGTTAATAACTGACAGTACATATTCTTTGTCTTTTAAATTCATTAGAATGATGTATGCTACTTAAATGACTTGATGTATGTCAGAATTGCCCAAATGTTTAATATTTTATTTATGTACACGTAATAAACGTTAAAATGAATAACACTCTGTTGTTTTGTTTTATCCCATTCATATTGAAATTATTCATTACAAAAGGATTGATAAATAAGTATATTTCTAAGTCAATAATATAAAATTTCAAAGACGGGTGAATTTACGCTGCCTTACATTCTAGCAAGTTATTATATCTAACTAATACTATTTTAAACATATTTTGTAAATGGAATATTATTATGACATTTCTTGTCAAGATTTTTACAATACACGTGAGATTCATAATGTAAAAAGATCAAATTGGGGTTTCTTTATACAAATTGACGACATTTATACAAAAAAGATATTTGAGCAAAAATAATAATGAGATCATGAAATTATTAAAACAATGTGCTTTGTTGTTACAGACAAGTAAATAGAAAAGCCTTACTGTAATAAAAAAATCAATACTAATGAACGAGACTCACATTTTACACATTTCATAGTTACGAAACTTCACTGACTTATTGAAAGAAGTGCTGAATAAATAAAAAGTATTTAACATGATAAATTAATACTATCAATATTCCAAATACAAATATCACAACATTTTTCTTAATTACATCTTATTTCTCTTTACACATACATCTTAGCATAATACACATCAATAGTTAAGTAATAGGTAAATACAAATAAGAACATTTACATTAGAAAATTATTTCAGTGCCAGATTTACATTATATTCATCCCTTTTTATAAAATCATATTTGTTTTCTATAAGAGAGCATTAGTTTGCTTTATATTAAAATTATAAAAATAGCATGGCCACTGGGAGATTAAATGCATTACAATTATCTCAAATTTTGCTTTTATGGGACTGTTAGAACTTCTACAAACTCCACAAAATTTTCTAAATGTTTTTTTTATAAAATACCTGTATGGTCATTGCACGTAAAATAAATCATTATGATACAAATGCGAAGAATACACATAAGCCTAGCAATATTTAGATTTACAATAAATAAAAATTTGATGTTCATTCAGTCCCATAATGTAATGCTAGCTGGCTGATGAGTAATAATTGCCAATATAAGTTACCAATAATTTCACTTAATACTTACAAAAGATACTTTAATACTTATTACATAGGTACTTCGAGAAAAAATAAGTCCATAGCTATTAAGTATTCCTTCATGATTCATTGAAAAAAATATTCTTTACTTTCTAACTAGAGTTATGAAACTGATTGCTTACAGTCTTTTTACATATCAGTTTTTATTAGATCTGAGTATTTTCAGAATAAATTAAAGCTTCTTTTTACAAAGTAGGTAATACATATATTATACATAAATAAATTACGTAAATGCAATCAAATCGTGACTGGTGTCATATAGTCAGCAGATAGATGTAGGATCCCCTTCCATAGTGCATGCTATATTATCTAATTTATGAGCTAAGTGCATTTTGTTTTCTAGTCCTAATATAATTTGTTCTCTATATTTACTGACATAGATATACAACTCTTTTAAGGCCGAAAGAGTGTCGAACTCATTCAACTGTTCCACTGAGAGTTGTTGCATAGAAGTACTTAGCTCTTGGTCTGTTACTTGAGGTAATTGAGATACAGATTGATAAAATCTTATAACCATGTCTCTATAAGTAGGCAAGTCTTTAGCAAATAGTAATTTGTTAGAAGGAGAATCTTTACATAGTCGATGTTCTGTTAATGAACAAGCATCCATGAACGTTTGAGCGATAACTGATAATGAAGAGTCAACAGTAGCAGTTTTATTTATATCAAATATAAAATCTGGATTCTTTATGAGATTCACCCAGAATCTTAGAGGTAAGCTATTAGATTTCCAAGCATGGACTACTTCAGGATTCATGATACCGTGTGTTCGAGCAGCGTCATCAAAAAGGTCAAATAACCATTTTACAGCAGGTGGCAAGACTTCGTTCACGGTGAGAATAGTACTGAAGAAGTCATCGACGAACTTGTGGACTGTGCCTTTTGTCGAGAGTAGGCGCGTGAGGAAAATCTCTGGAATAGCTTTATGACTATGCTCTGATGACTTGTTGATAATGTGCTGGTACTCTATAGGTTTCACCAAGTGATAGTAGTGAACATTTTGATCTGTAATGTCACTGTTGTACACTCTTATGTGAGAATTGGAGCAATATATTCCTGTGCAATTTTTGCAGGGTATTTTATACGGAGTGTTAAAACTATCGTTTTGTCGAGATATCAAGGACATGATAGCAGATTCCTTGACGCCGTAATGGGCTAGTGTATTCAATTTACGCCAACCATTAATCGTCTTAGTGGTAACGTCCTCATCTTGGAGCGTAACATGTCCACCTCTTCCGTGACGCCATTCTAAATCAACTTCATGGACGGATGGTCTCATAGAGAATGGGGTATTTTTAAATAGGGCATCTAATATTTTAGATTTAACTTGTGAAATACTGTCGCAATCTAACACTTTACATTGAACTTTTTCATCAAAATCATCTTGGACTATATGTAATGTTATAGTTTGGTAATCAATTTGTTCCTTCAGAAGTTTTTCTTCCGACAAGGAATATCGAGCTTCGTGAGTTATTGCATCTACAACTCCCTTTTCGATTTGATGCTTTATTGCCTTGAAGAGCAAAAACAACGAAGAACCTGCATAGTCTTTTAAATAATAATACATACATAAAGCCATCCAGTTCGTTAACATTTTTTCAACTACACTCTCAGTTCTCCTTAACATGAGTTGTGGATGTTTATTACATATAGATTTATCAATAAGACGTAACAGAAGGGACTTTAAAATGTCTGTAGCATATTCCATTTTTCCCATGAGGATAATCATCAACAGGGAAGCCACATTCACCTTGTCTCGAATGTTAAACGACTTTTGTGACTCTAATGTGTCTATAAATGACAAAAGGAAACATTTATTATTCAAAAGTTGCTCAAATTGAATCATAGCAGCGTCGTAATTGGTCCTGGGAGTATTAATAAATTGACGTTGGACATTCAATATGGGATGGTCCGACACGCCTGGGAAAAACACCTTCATCACGTAGTTTACATGATCTAGCGTCGGTATACCTGAATGTTCCAAATCAGCTGCCAGATCAGACATATCAGTTTGCAACTCCGCAAAAGCCAATTTACATTCTAATCTAACATTGCTCTCTAAAGTGTCCATCTGAATTTGTATTCGTTTATATTCTCTTTCTGCTTTTGTACTGCGACGTCTGTACATAACTAACACAATCATAAATATGAGCACTAAAAAGAAAGTTCCACCAGCTATTCCAGCGATGACTTCCGGCGGGAAGTTGTAATTTCGGAGTAATTCATAGTGAAGGTACCCAATAGGAAACCGTAAATTCTTTCCAATTTTAACAACCACCAAAGGTAAACTGATTTCAGATATTTGCAGACCATTTTCATCTGTGTTAGCTGGTTGTATCTCAGGAGGAGTGCACAACAGTTGTTGCATGGTGAGACTAGTCACATTACAAGGTTGTGTTCCAATAGTAACAATAACATCAGTTTCATCACTTGCTCTTATTAGATTCTCACCTTCTATCACCAATGGGTCCCCCTTATAAGATTTCACGCCTTTATTAGGAAATTGGTAAACATGAGGATCATCCACATACACCATATGTGTTCTAGGAGGATTAAAGTGTTTTTCATGCATTGTTTCCACATTATCCAAAACAAACCCAACTTTCATTGCTACCTGAGGTGTACTTGTTTGAGTTTTAGTTGCTTGCAAAATTTCAAAATATTTGTTATTCACTGCAGGACTAGGACACTCCATCTGATGTTCATTTAGCACAGTACAAGCTGTGTGATTCACAGGGAGAACTTCATTAGCAAAATATAATTTCATAAGGGGCTTTTGAATGGTGTGCAAGTTTGTACCATGAACTGTTATCATTCTGCCACCAGATACAAAGCTTTTCAATGGTTTTATTTCCATTATAGTTGGGTCTGCTGTATAATTAAATAAATCTCCATGTAAAGTGCGATTAGCATTATCTATTCCCACTGTCAATGTATGAATCACTCTAGGTACATTTGCTTTAGGAGTAATACATATTAACCTACTGTTTGATGTCTGTGTTGTATTTACAGAGCAAGGTAATTCATCCAAATAGGCTGATATTGATGAACCAATATTTAAATGCTGCCCTCCTATTGCTAACTGAGTGCCACCTGCCACAGGGCCAAGTGTCGGATAGAGGCCCTGAAGTTTAATGTTTTTATAACTAAATAGAACAGATGATTCTGTGTGACCAGAATCATTTTCCACAATAACAGGTGCCACAGCAGACCCATTAGAAGGACCTGTCCGACATGTTATGCTCACAGACACTTCAAAGTCTACTATTTCACATGGAACCTCCCCAATTCTAACTTTCCCAGACACTTCTTCAACTCTCAAACCAAGATTACTGCCTTCAATGGTAACTATGGTACCACCTTCAATTGGTCCACTTAATGGCTTTATCATATCAATTCTAGGTTTGGGACATTCAGTTACTGGATTTTCCAAACATGTTTCACTATAGGAACAAGAATTGCCACACCATGTGCATTTATAGATGGAGTTTCGAGTTATACAAAGAGAACAATCTGCATGTTCCCTGTGAGATCCTAGAATTTCACATTTGTACAGTGTGATGTTGATTGTGTCTATGTAATGTTTGTGATTCCAAACAATTTTAACACTTACATTATACTCCCCTACATCTTCTTCATATGAATATGTTGTTTTGTCACACACAATGTAATGATTTGACTCAACTCTTGCAGGCAATATCATGTTGGCTAGCTCAATACTCACTATACACTGGAACCCAGTGTGTCCTGGTTGTAGGTGAGGTAAATTTTCTACTTCAAGTTCCAATTCTTTAGGCACATTATTAGGTAGTAAAATAGGTTTCTTGTATTGTCTTATTCTAGGACAATGTCCAATACCATGATTTAAAAGTTTTGTAGGATTGTTTTCGCCACTAATTATGGTCCTCTGGCAAACAGATGTATCATGAGTGCACTTGTT